ACTACCAAAGTAGTCCAGATGACATGCTGTATTCAAAGTACTCTCTGCTAGGTATGTTTTAATAGCTAAAAATCTTATCCTAACCCACTCCGTGAGGGGAGGGCACACATATCTTTTTCAAATGCACACGTTGTGTTTTAGATGCTGTCAGTATTGTACGTTTTATCTATGCAAACGTACATTGTATGTACATTTTGAGTAAAATACATACAAATACATGAGATCACATTGACCTGTATTAGCTCATTGTGTTTTTGGTTTCAGAACAAGCCATTATTTCATCTTAGCTAGGAGTTCTCAAATATTACAGTATATTGTCATTGTACAACGATCTTCTTCAACTCAAAAGATCAAGTAAGGAAGAGTTGATTTCTTATGATATGTGAAACGTACAGCATAAATCCATAAAACCATGACACTTGTGGTCTAACTGTCAAACACCTTTTGTCTGAAAAGGAAAGTTGACTATGACTGAGCCAGACTGTCCACACTTCCCTACATGATGCTGATTTGCTGATCCATTGGCTATTTCCCTTCATTCTATTCTGCACTCCTCCCTTTCCTCCTATTGAAGATCAGGCTTCTAGGGCTTGCCACAGAGTTCCCTTTCCTGTCCCCCAGTCTTCCTTCCCATCTGCGTCAAAGCAGACCTGCCACCACAGTCCATGTGTAGGACATTGTACTATCACCGTCCTTGTACATTTCCTCCCTGTGACAAGCTGATCTATGGACAGCCATCCACATTTCATTAACGGAGTACTGGCAGATGCTGAACATGGAACTTGTTTAAAGAGATATTCTCACTTTTCAGCAAAATGATTACTATTCTGCAGACGCCTTGAGGAATCTCCTCAAGAGTGTGGTTACCAATAAGGCTCTAAGTGTTTTTTTTGTGTGTGAAACCTAAAACTTCATGGTCTCTGGGCGACCTCCAAGTACAAAGACATGAGAGGTAGCCATTCCAATCTACCCAGAGTATAAATCTTCAGCCCAATTCATCCTGACATCCAGAAGAAAATATGGGGCTTTGAGTTACACATCTTGAATTTCTAATAATTTAGAAGAAGAAATTGCAGGTTATGTTTTTCACACTTTGTAGAAACTGTTCATATTTTGTTTATGTTGGATAATGTTCCAAATCTAAATTCTCCAAGTCAAAATAGTTTTGTTTGCTCCATGTAAAAAAAAATTAAAAAAAAAACCGTCATGTTTGTAAGGCAAAGTAGAACACCACCGTTAAAAAGCAGTATTATCATATAGCCGCTATACTCTCATGAACATTTCCTAAACTATATATTTTTTAATATCTTACTATTATGCAGTATTTTGACTGCATAAAATACATCTAAATATGTTTCAACTTTGAGTGTAAAAACACCCAGGCTCTTTACTTCAAAAGCTTTGATATAAGCTTGAGTCAAACTCCATGTCTGCAATTAAGTTTTACCAGACAGACTTCAAAGATTTGAGAAAAGGTTCCTCACTTAAGGCGAGTTAATGTCACCCTTAGCAGATAAATCACTGAGCACAAACACCTTCCCTCCACTCACACAAACAGGTATGAACTCTACTTGACTACTTGTTTGTCATGCTTATGATAATCACACACCTGAGGGGCCTGTGCTATGTCAAGATATTTTTAGCACTAATGGAAACTTTTTTAACTGTCTAGATAGCAGGGGTGATGTCTGGGTCATGCATCTAAAAAACACATTCTAAACTTTGAGTCTTTATTTTTGTTTTTCCTGTTTTACTGCATAGGGTAGGGCTGGACAATAATTCAATATCATTATGTATCGCGATATAATTTTTTTCAATAACGGTGATATGATTTTTAAACACATTTCCGATATTTCGATATACATTACCAGTTTCCCATACATTGATTTATTTGTGGCGTTTGACTTCGTTGAATAAACATGAGCACTGCACGTTTCAACAATATCGGAATTATATCGTATCGTCCGAAATTAAGAAATATATCGTGATATCAATTTTGGCCATATCGTCCAGCCCTAATAGGAGGAAGAAAGAAAAAACTCAAGGAATAGAATATCTATAACCCTGCCAACAATTGGTTTCCTGAGATGCAGAATCTATAGTATTAGCAAGTAAGAATATTTAACATAAGTTATAAAGGGGTTGTAAAAAGGGGACACATTTATATAAAGCTGCGGTGTTAAAAAAAAAAAAACATGCTTAACTTAATGGTACAGAACCATAACTGAACAAAGACAAACAGATTCTAAAATCTCATTTTAATCTTGCATTCTAGTTTATGTAACATATAATATAGGTACATAAAAATGGGTACATAAATGTTTATGTGACATGATACACAAGGGTGACCATACATCCTCTTTTTCCCGGACTTGCCTTATTCGGGATTTCTGCCTATAATGTACATTTTTTTTCTTGCTGAAAGTCATAGCATGCAGGCATTACATAATCGACCAATTGTGTCAAAACAGTCAAAGCAATGCAAATACACATGTGTGAGGACTGTAAAGAGCACGTCAACAGAACACCAAAAAACCAAAACCCGGACATTTCAGGCAATTTTGAAATCCCAGCAAGGACATGCCCAAGAAAAAGAGGACGCATGGCCATCCAACACAAGCAGGTTGCTTCGTTTAGTTTCTATAATGATTAAATGACCTTTTCAAATATTCTTACAACAAAGTTTTTGACATGCTGAGGAAAACAAGAAAAAAGTCACTATGTTAAATGGTTAAGGCCTGTCTATTTGGCTGTCCATCATGGATATCAATATAAGGAATGATAAGCAAAAATAATCCTTTAAAATGACGATACCTGCTTAGAATATTTACAACATCAATTCCTACAAAAGATGCTATGTCACAAAATCTAAAAATCGTGTTTGCATATATGAGCTGATGCTAAAGCAGTTAATGATGTACTGTATCAGTCGTTTAATTTGTATGCGTTGATTAAAAAAAATGTCAGATCATGAAATGAATAGGTACTGCAGACCACGAACTGACAAATAACGAATTTTTAAAAAGTCCAAATCACTGCAAACATTCAAAATGAAGAATCAATCATTTTATGAGTTGGAATGTAGATCACCCCATTTAAGGCAAAAAGTAAAATCAAATCTGCAAATACTAGACAGATCACCACATTCCAAAACAAATCATTCAGTACCAGGTAGTGGAATGAGAAGAATTTCCCTTTGAGCCGATAGTGCAGTAATATGTACAGGGTTGTTTTATGTTTGCATTATGTGTGACTGGAGGCCCATTTCTTCACAGTCTCTCCCTTGAAAATATCCTTTGTTTACACAGCCTTGAACATGTACGAAGAGCCAAGACAACTACGGGTGGAATATAAGACACCACACCACGAAAGGAGACCATTTTATTTTCATGTTCTTGATATTTAATAATATTTAGACATTTTTATTATGTTGCTAAAGGTTATTATATTTTAAAGACTGATATAAAACAAATTACAATTGAGTAAATCAATGTTTTCGGTGCAGTTAAGGATAGGAACTTTCCACAGAGATAAAGCACATCTTTGTGTACATGTGTTTCTGTATGATGTATATTCTAGTGGAATGATTTAACTTTAAACCTGTTTCTCCTTCAAGCAGACGTCAAGATTTATGGGAGTGTTAGAGCAAAGAATGTGTGAACCAGTCAGAATGGATTGTTTGAAAGTAATAGCAACAGTGGCCTTGATCATGTTGTTTTTACAACAAGTAAATCCTCATAAAATGTGTTTCTGCATGATACTGGGAAAGCATTTGATTTAATATATCTAGGGCCCTTGACCTCATATTCAAAAGCAACATTTAAGGACTTTATATAGCCTATAGTTTTACAATAAATCTGCAAATTCCTGTTGCCACATTTATTTGTCCAAAGTTGTCAGATTTAAAAAAGGGAGTGTTTTTTTCCCCCTGGCCGTGAACATACATCAATGTATACAACTGGCTCTATAAGCATACTGGCAGCTGGCGTGGCATCTGCATGGCAACTTTACCACACAAAATGCAGCTACAATATTTTAAAAATTTTAACAGTAGGCCTATATGTCATTAAAACATATATAATGCTGATAAGCCAACCTATTTCAGCTGTTAAAATCTGCTGGAATGCCACATGGTGACAAAGTTTATCCAAAGTGGCCTCATCAGCAATTAGCCAATAACAGCTTAAACACAGAGCACAATAATCAACACAAAGCCCAAACAGCAGGCCACTAAAATAATACTATATGAACATTAATAAGAAAATGCAACACAAAACACTGCATGGTACAACACTTCAATAAAATAAAAAACGTGATGGTTCTCTCAAGGAAGTCTGGAACTGCGACAACCCAATAAATTATAAAGTAATTTTTTTTACTTATTAAAAACATCTCCATGTATAATATATATATATATATATATATTATACATTGAGATATG